CTTCCTCATTTATCACATAACCTGTCCATGGGATGCTTGACATTCGCCGGTAGAATCATATCTTTGTCATTTCAAGTCTGAAAGATATCACAAAAGGAAATTACTCTTGCATGACACCCGCGACGATCCTATAAGTTATTGGAAACATCTGTCGTGTACTATGTGTGAACCAAAAGTTTGGTGAATGATTGATTCGTCTACTACGGTTTATCGACCCCTTGCAGGTTATTTAAAGCCAGAAAATATTTCTAGATTGTAAAAATTTTTGGTGTGTGTGTGTGTGTGGGGGGATAATAATGATTTAGTGATACAAATCTTTCGAATTAACCCATAGCTGGGGGAAGAAGTGGTGGATTCATACCTTTTCCAAAGGTATTTACGCGTAAGTGAATATAACAAACCTAAATAGAATTTGAACTCGGCTCTCCACTTAACTTTTACGTACATAGGACGCTGAAGGTAAAAGCCTTCCGCAGGAGCTACCTTAAAGTCCGCCCTTAGGGGGATCTTCTAATAAAATCATGTGTTTATCCGATCGGCCACGACTGCAAGTTTCTTACGTGCAGTCATCAAGCGGCCTGTATATGTGCTTTTATACCACCTTGGCCGGCCCTTGATATAGGTTGGTTGGTTGATTTTGTTTAGTGGCATATGTACCTCATTGGCTTATTTAGTGCCGCAGTCTAAATATTTTGAACGCAATTGTATGCCTCCGACTACATTGTTGGTCATTTTGCTATAAATAGGTGTTGTTATTTTTTTTTTTATAGAAAAATACATTGCTTGTACATTTAATATAAAAATGTCTTTTTATAATTTCATAGTGTTTTGCTTGTTTGTCGGTTCACTATTTGGCCATAGCCGAGACCCTGACAAGTGCTACAGGGCCTGGTCAGGGTGGACCTGGGAACAAGAGAAAAGTTCCACGCTCCTCAAAACCTCCAATCTCCCGATCAGAGGCCTTGCTGCCGGATGTAGTCTATCGCCATATCCAGGACTTTGATATTACACTGAAGCTAGCTGGTGAGTACACAAAATAGCCTCACCAACTAAAATCACCGAAGCGGAAAAATGATAAATAACCAAATATCACCTTGTAACCTTTGTCTTGTGCTATTTTAATATACTTCTTTCAGTGTTATTTTCGTGTTGTCTTTGTTAGGCATTATTGACTTGTCTTGTTATATATATATATATATATATATTTATATATATCCAAATTTCATTAAATAAGACAGACAGGGTGCTTTGATTTAGTTTTTTATACAATTTCTCATATTATCTGGTATTTCTTTTCAGATGATAAAAACAAACTATAACACCTAAACTTTTCAGTTAACTTGATGAATATTTATGAGCGTTCTTGAATTTAAAAAATTTGAGAAACTGTCAAATATATAGTTGCTGCAAAAAATGCATTTGCCTTGATAAAGCCCGTCAGATGACGAAACGCGTCGGTTAAAACTATGTATAGATTTCTTGCTGTCTTTTCACTGTATATTTCATATATATATATATATATATATATATATATATATATATATATATATATATATTTGTAAAGGACCAAATAATTAGATGTTTCACCTGTGTATTTAGGAAAGCATTTTGGCAGCCTACTTTGTAAATTCCTGCTTCATGTTTAATGTTATTTTTAAGTTGTTTTAATTAAATCTTTCATTGTTTTTGAAGTTGTTATAAAAAATTTTATATTAAGTATCAGGAATACCTTTTCAATTCTTGCAGTTTTATATGAAATAATTAGAATGGAAAGCGGAAATATTACAAAATTCATAGAAAACAAAGAAAATAACAGAAATAAGCTTGTGAAAACAATGCACACAATATTAGTGACTCAATAACGACTACATCTGAAAAGAATTAATCTAAACATAATAGAAAATTTCTGGCACGTACTTAAAAAAATAATAAGGGATTTAATTATCTCAGAGCAAAATAAGGCGGACAATAACTGAGCTCTTTAAAACTCTAAAATTAAGAACCAGACGATATCCTGGGCAATGAAATGAGGACAGATCAGGGTTCAGTTCAGAATTCCCTGTAGATCGGTATATACATGAGGAAGAAAGAAACGTTTTGATAACAAAAACAAAGATGAGTTCGAATATAAATAACGGTAGTTCCTCATACCAGAAATTCAGGCAGAGACTGTTAAACATTTTCCCCAAATACAAGGGTGAAATATTTCGTAATTTAAGTAAAAGACAATATAACCACCCCCCAAAAATGGATCTTTTACAAAAACACTACACTCAATGCATTAGTCATTATATCTATCTATCTATCTATCTATATATATATATATATATATATATAGTTTTAAGGTGTGCTACATTTATGGGATACAGTGCTCAATATCAGAGATAGAGCGTATGTAAATATAAATATAAAAGTGAACATTGAAGTCAACACTCAGAGGTGACAGTCTGTTTCATGCTAGGCGCAATATTGACCCTAGCATGAAACAGCCTACCCCTGAGTGTTGACTTCACTGTTCCCTTTTATATATATATATATATATATATACAAACAAGTTTGATAAAAAAATGACAAGGTGTGTCTATTTAATTTTTTTTACTGTAGTTTTCCACTTTTCAAACAAGATGTTGAATATTGTGATTGAATTTGTAGATAAACTGTTCGAAGTTCATATCGTATTATTGCTTTGTTAAAGTACTTTCGCTCATCTCAGTCATTTTCTAGAGCCAATGTGATGTTTGTGTACTAAACAGAATTCTTTTGACGACATCCTGGTATTCTTCGGAACGCTGGAAAGTTAAAATAGACTGTGGTGACATTATGAGTAACAATTATTGGGAACGAGGTCGCACCAAAAAGAATGAGATTATATATGTGTGTGCACATTAAATACATCATATGTATTTCAAGATACCGTCTTCTGCGGTGAATAATATTTTATTTATATAAGCTCTTTATTTTATATAATAATAGATTCTATGGTTAAGAAACAAAGAAAAGAGTATTGAACTGTTACTTAATATCATCCCTCCTATCTGTCAGTGAATGCTGAACAATCTCCGCACAGATGAAGAATAGACTAGAAGCAACAGAAATGCGGTTCTACAGAAGGATACCGTGGATACCATGAACTGAACATGTGAGCAATGGCGAAGTTTTAGAGAAAATGGAAACAAAAAGGACACTTAAGGATACTTAAGATCAGAAAAAACATTGCTAAGGGTTACAAGGGATCGGAAGTTGTGGAGAACCTTGCACGTAGAAAGAAGAATTGGAAAGAAAGCGTTAATTTCATTTTTTTTGTCATGAGGAAACTTCCCTTGTGTAAATACAGAGAACATATGAGGCGTACTGAAGCTATCTCGATAGGAAGATAGCATGAATGAAGTTAGAGGTCGTAAGATAACTTGTGACAATGAAGACATTATGATTCAGGGAGTGGTGGAAGAATTACTACGTTGATAAGCAGATAGAGACAAGTACAAGCGTATCAATGCTAAATGCTACCTAAAAGTCATGGGAATCCAAACAGTACGAACTGAATTTAATGTTTACCGTTACACTTCATGGGCAGGACTCTTTCTGAGCCAGCGAACAAACAGCACGAAACGATTGAATTTCTGCGCTGGGGGTCAAATTTCCCGAAATATGAATTACGACTTCACATAATTATATATGATCATATAATATAGCAAAAAAAAGTTGCATATATATATATATATATATATATATATATATATATATATATATATATACTTTTATACGTTATTTCTGCATATACAGTTTATTTAAGCAAATGATCTCTTTTCAATTAAACAGCTTTAATTACTTTTAGCGGCTTGAATGTTCGAGAAATTTCATAGAAAATATGCGTTCTCCGTCAGGAAATGAACCGATATTCCTATATGGAAAGCGTCATTTGATCTGACGTGCTATACCATTTAGTTACAGAGAAGCTTCTGGTTAGCAAAATCCAAATTAACTTTTTATAAACACAATCTTCGACGAACTTTCTCGATCGATTATATCTGCTCACGAAACGTATCTTAACGTAAACAATGACAACATATAATGAAATGGATTAAGTCCGACAATTCTCTGTAGCTAAATGGTATAGTACGTCAAATCAAATGACGGTTTCCGTATAGTAATACAGGTTCGATTCCTATCGGAGAAGGCATATTTTCTACGAAATTAAATTCTCAGACATTCAGGCCGGTAAATGTAATTGATGCTGTTTAATTGAAAACAGAGCATTTGCTTAAATAAATTGTGTTTGATAGCCGCCCTCGTAGCCTGGTATCCTTGGATTCGAGTGGACAGCCACTATGTATGGACTCACTTTGTAATCAGCAGGTTTGCAGGCTGTTTAAAGATAGAAAATAGTTTTACAGTGTAAGATTTTGGGGGATATAACAATGATTATGATTTACTGGTACAATTCCTACAAATTAATCCATATCTAAAAAAAGAGGTAGATTCATGTCTTTCTCAAGGGTATTTGAGCGTAAGTGATATAATGGAATATGCGTACACCTGTGTTCCCCACCCTCACTGGAATATGATTGTCTGGTGTCCGTCATAAATACCGACGGACGTGTACGAGAGTCAAAGGTTAACTCAGAGTCTAAGTCTATAACGACGCCCATTGGACTACGCCATTGATCTACACTTCTTATGACGCGTACCAGTCGATTACTGTTACCATATTCTACTTGGTTATAGTAGCCAAAACCACTTAGCTACTTCGTTCAAATATATCCCTTTCCGGGACTAGAATTGGAACTTGGCTCTCCGATCTTCAATTCCGAGCCATTATCACCTGCACATCCAAGCTTATAGCACTTGGTATTCCCAAGCGGTCATCCATTTAAGTACTGATCAGAATCGACGTTGCTCAACTTCGGTGATCGTGTTGGGGTCTGTGTTTCGACGTGACGTTGCTGTAAACCGAAAGAGAATGAGCGATTAACAATTCCATTACATCACTTGCACACCCAAGCACCCGGTATTCCCAAACGGTCACTCATCTAGATACTGACCAGGCTCAGCGTTTCTTAACTTCGGTGATCATACGAGAACCGATGTGTCAACGTGATATGGCTGTAAGTCATGTATTTGTAGAATCTTTTGATATAAGTAATTATATTGTTCTAACGGAAATAGAATGGACGTCAAAGACCTTCATGGCTAGGAAATCAGGAGCTCAATAAAAATCCGAGTCTATGTAAACAGATATTTGAAAAATAAAATTTAAAGTTTAAGCTACCTAAAGCGCTTTCTATTCATATTGTCTGCAGTTTCAAGAGAACCGGACAAACAAATGTATAATTTTTGTGGCGTACGGTGGCCGTTAATAATTAAGTATAACTAAAGACTTCAATGTTAAATAAAACAGTAATTACAACCGCAAATAAATACTTAACAAGAACTAAGAAGTAAAAGTCAACCAAAGATAATTAACCATTTCAGTGAATAACTTGTTAGTAGCGCGGCTCAGCTTAACATCAGGTAAATCCTAAATTGAAAACCAAATCATCGATGCACAATAATTCACACTAATTCGACTGGATAGTTCCACTCAATAGTTAGTCAATAATCACTCAATAATCAATAATCACTGCAGTCAGTAGCCTGACAGCGCTGTTTATACATTCTGGCGGAAAACATATATTTATAAGTTCAGAGTTTCACGCTCAAGCCTCGGTGTCGGCAGTTACTCATTTTCTTCCTATATGACAATACTATAGCATTATTATCAAACTTTTTGGCATTTATTTTGTACTCTGTGTTTGAAGTAAATTTAATGTATAACTGAATCGAAAACTTGAACAAAGCACGATCGCTTTCGTTTAAAATTAGTCAATATGACGCAACAATTGTTTAATAATTAATCTACCATTCATCCATTGAATATTACTGTCATATCTGGTCAGGTATTCCTACTATATATCTCGAGATTTTTGACAAAATTCAAAGAAGAGTCTGCAATGTAATGGATCATGATCTGGCATCTCGACTTCAATAACTTTGACGTGAATTTTCTCTATCTTTTCTACAAATATTTTCATTGCAATTGTTCTGATGAGCTTTCCTCCTTGATACCTAAACTGTATGAATTTAAGCGTGCTACTAGATTGGCAACGAGGTTTCACGGCTTTACTGTTTAAATCGCTAGATGAAATCGTCTGTTCTATTCTAATAGTTTCTTTTCTGGAATTTCCCGCCTCTGGAACCACTTCTGTTTTCTTGTTTCCCTGCTACTTATAAACTTCAACAATTTAAATGCAATGCCAATCGCCATCATCCGTCTTCCTGAAACCGGTTCTTCAATTGTCCTTTCTTCTCACTTCTCAGTAATTCTTTTCATTCTCTTTCACTGCCAGTTACAAGTGTTTTGATGGACGCTTGGCAGTGTTTATTCTACAAAGTTCGTGCTATACATTCGAACAGTCAGATAGCGCCCCAACTATTGTCCCTCTGCGTAATAAATATTTACGTAGTTACATCGTTGACTAATGATAAGCAAAGCATTTATTTTACGCACGAATTTATTTTTTACAACATAATCACCTTCTACTTAACCCAAAGTTTCTTCGTTAATCACATCGCTGGAACATTACAGAGTGAAAATATCAGATCTATATCCAGCTAAGGCAACACCATACAGGAATAGTGATCCAATCGTAGATAAGGATGGTGTCTAAAAAAGAGCAATGGTTACCAAAAAGTTCCGCAAACCATTGCCAGTGTATCCTGTTTGATCCTCGATGTCTGCCCCATGCTAGTGGCCTTGTGCTATACTAAGCAAAACTTAGTAAAAATCGATTAACATTTAATTTTTTTTTATTGATATGAATATGCATAAAAGCGAGCATGTTGGGTTCCATAGTGAAACCATCAAAAACCATTAAAAAAAATCGACTGCGCAGATTTGAAGTCAATAACATGCGTTCTCCTAAAACATCAACTCTATTCACTGCAGTGGAATGAACACATTCCCATCTTCCCACCTACAAAATAAATGCATCCAGACTTAAACCATCAATATTTACCCACACCCAAACCAAGCAAATACTTATTGACCAAAATATAATAATAAAAAGAATAATTTCGTAATTCAGTAATCCAACAATGTCGTAAAATCAATCAAAACTTTCAAGACTTCAAGCTATGATTAGTCTTGTACAGCTGGAAACCCCCCCTTAAAAAAAACCTCAACCTTTCTTTCTCCAACATTCGTGATATTCGTACCAATTTACACAGTATGGAATTGTTTCTCTTGGAACACTACTTGTCCTCTGTGGAACTAATCTTAATTCATTCACTCCCTTTCTTTGAATTCTTGGTTCCTAGCTGTCTTTCTCTGTTTATGAAGGACTCTAGTGTCCACATGCATAGCCTTGATGCTTATCTCCGGGAACATTTACCTCGAGAACTCTCTCTTTAGTCTTCAGATCGTTCTTACATGTTCCGTCTTTGTCTACTAAACTCACCTATCTCTTCTTCTGTCGTTTCCCCTTCCTCTCATGACTGTTTCGATAGTATTTCTGATAGTATAGATACCGCCGTTTGTAAATATCTTTGTGTTCGGCAACTTTAATGCCCACCGCGTCAGGTGGCTAAGTTACTCCGTCATTGACCTCACTGGCACCCAGAGGTTGGACTTCTCTATGACTCATTCTCTCACACAGATGGCATACTTACCCATGCGTTTCCCCAGTAATCCTGATCGACAAGCTTCTCTTCTTTACCTCTAGCCCTGACTCATGTCGTGCTCTGCAGATCTGTCCTCTTGGCAACTCCGCTCTCCCATCTGTCACGAACCTATTACTAACAGGATAATTTCTGTTATCAACGCGCTGACTGGGACTCATTTTGCGACTTACTTCTGAGTGATTTTTTTAATCATCCTGTTCAAATGTCCCACTAAAGACTTTTCATAGATGAAAGCCGGCATTGAAGCTTTTGTTCTAGCACAGAAGCCACGTGAAACCACAATCATCTTAGTTTTCACAAGTCTGCTCAGCCGCTATATGAATCACTTCTTCGGGCTGTACCAGAGCGACAGGTCTGATTGTAACAGACGTCTCTTTGTTACTGCTCGTAATGATTGCATATAAGTCATGTTTTAAAACAATATTCACCAGGTTTGGGAAAGCACGTCTGGCTATACCAATTCTAGTGTTGTACGTTCTAAGACTTGCCTTGTGACTGAGGTAACTGTGTCGTCTGGTGCCAGAGATCAGTGTTCAAATCTTGGTTAAAGAGTTGTATTCAAATGCTCATTTCCCAGGTAGGCCGTATCTATTCATAAGATTGTTCTTTTCCCATATTTATTTTAATGGCCGGAAATAGCAAATTTGATGATATAGAAGACTACCCACTTTTTATGTTTAATACTAGAGATAACGCTTCTATATAGATTCATTTTCATTATGTTTGTTACTTAGAACGGTTAGCAACCAAGGAAAACGATCCTAGTCAAGTTTGAATTTTAACCAATTGCTATTCGTAGATAAAAGAAGAAATGAAATCATGTTTTTTTTCCAAGGTCATAACGAAGAGATAAATCAAGAAAACAAAACTTTCTATAAACAGTACACATGAAGAAAACGAAGTGCGCGAAAAGAAACTATTAGAATAGAGCATACGGTTGCATCTAACTAGTTCAACAGTAAAACGATGAGACCTAATTGCCAATCGAGTAGCACGCTTAAATTTTCATAATGAAAAAAGCTTACTAGAACAGTTGCTATGAAAATATTTGTAGAAAAGACAGAGGGAAGCCACGTCACGTCGGTGATTCGAGGCACTCTGGAAAAAACTCATCAGGACAGTTGCCATGAAAATACATGTAGAAAAGACAAAGGGAAGCCACGTCACGTCAGTGAGAAAGTGACCGAAGTCGAGATGCCAGGACAGGATCTATTACACTGCAGATCCTTCTTTGAATTTTGTCAAGAATCTCCAGATATATTGTAGGAGCACCAGACTAGATGTGGCAGCAGTAATCAATGCACGGACGAATGGTAGATGAATTATCAAACAATTTGTTTCCCATTGTCTTCTCCACAGTTTTTTCTTTAATTAGACCGGTTGCCAGCCAAGGCAAAAAGAGCCCAGTTTACTCTGCAACCAACAGCTGTTCGTAGGTGGAAGAAGAGATGGGTTCATGTCTTTTTCAAGGACACAACGAACAGATAAATCAAGAAAACAAAATTTTCTATCAAGAATATACGGGAAGAAAACAAAGAAAAAAAAAGATGGAAAAAATAAGATAATATTACAACCTCTGTGTAAAACCATTGAATGACAATATTGGCATCAATTTCGTCCGGTTTTTTTTTGTATTAAATACTGACTAGAAACTGTGTTTGTTTATAATTATGGAAATTCTAAAAAAATATTAATAGAGTATTTCTCACTCATGTTCTGCGCGTGTTTTTAGTTGGCGTATTTGTGATTACGACATTCTATCTTCTGTAATGTCTTTTACACAGAAATCGTTATCGGTAATCAAAAGAAACTGAGACGAAATAACACAGATGATGGAATCAGTTTGACAAAATAAAATAAAAATACTGAAATAAAAAAATACCTTGTGTTACAAGTTAAAGACTTCGAACTGTTTTCCCTTGTGTATAAACGAGGAACTTTACGAACAATTCAGGAGCAATTCAAAGTAAAGCGTTACTAAATCAGGTTGTTGCAAGGGCGTAAAAGAAGGTTTTTTTTTTTTACTGATTTGTTTTCTACGGTTTATCAGTTCTTTGTGCGTTATTTAAAACCAGGAAACATTTTTAGATCTTAATTTTTTTTTTTTAGATAATAATGGTATAGTGGTACAAGTGTCACTAATTAACCCATAGCTAAGGGATAAGTGGTGGATTCATACCTTTCTCGCGCGTAAGTAAATGTAACGAACCCAACAGGAATTGGAACTCGGCTCTTCGATTAACAATTCTGAATAATCATCCGTTACATCACCCACATTTCCAAGCTTACTACACCTGGTATTCGCAAGCGGTCACCCATTGAGGTACTGACCAGGTTTAATATTGCTTGATTTCGGTGATCGTACCGGAATTGGTGTTTCAATATAATGTGGCCGCAAGCCGAGCAAGAAGCGAGTAAGTGGTACATATTATGAGGATATGTAGGAGAGATAATGGTTGACTCTCAACTTGAAGCTGTTAAGATTGTGGTGATCGACAAAACACCCTTTCGGGAGTATGTTCCATAATGTAACAGTTCTGGGGAAGAAGCCGACTGCGTGAAACTTCGTCCTTACTCATAGAATATGAAGGAAATGAGAATGAGTGTGGGTCCTAGCTGAACTGGTGGTACTAAGCTCACCCGAATATCTGTCATGATAATAGCGAGAGGCTAGCCAGGTTTCGTTGTTGGGAGAGTTATATTTTATTTAGACGAATGTCTCAAATTTCAAACAAAACATGATGCCTACTAACAAACACGCGCTCAGTTAATAGCGTCTCAATGAAAACTGAGTAACTCACCGAAGAAGTGTTCACACATGCGCACTAAGGTCCTCTCTGATTATTTACCATCTTACATCAAAACTGCATAACTGGTTCTGGAGATATTTAGAATAGCTGAATCATTTCCGGACTAACCTCATAAATACATGTAGACGATCGCAATACCAGATTGGCGGTTCGGTTTCATAATTTCAGTTTTAAAATTAATAGCTGTACCGTAATTTCTATGCTGATAGTTTCTTCTTCCCTACTTCTTGCTTGTAGAACTCTCTTCCAGTTTCTTGTTTCCCTACCATCTACGTTATTCAAAAACTTAAAGACAATTTATCATCTTCTGTTTTCTTGAATCCTGTTTTTTTTTTTTTTTTTTTTTTTACTGTTCTTTCCGTTTCTTTCACTCTTTTTGGGAGCACTTGCACCCCCGCCGCTTTTATTTCTTTCATTGGAGTGAAATGATACAAAAACACAAAATTAACGAATTGTTGCAAAAATAAATTTATGACGTTAAAGCCGTCGATTCGTTTATTTGAATCGACGATGAGAAGTCGTCTGTCATAAATTAGTGCTCAGGAAGGAAAAGATAATTAGGTCGAAGAAATAAAGAGGCTACATCATTGTTTTATCCTCTCGTCTCGGACAGAGGAGTTGTTTTCTTTTACAGCGCATGTCCGCGTGATTAACGTTGCTTGGAAATGACAAACACGTTTCAAAGGACAGTGAAGAGTTGATAGTAGCGACATGAGAAGTGTATACTGTTTGGTAAGACAAACGCGAGGACAAAAATGGATTCATCAACATGAAACATTTGAAAGTTCTAGAAACTGATGTTACATAAAGAAAGTGCATTGCCTTTTTACGTTACTATTTAATTATCTTTTAAATAGAGAACAGGGTTGCACTTTTAAAGAAAGAAGTATTAAACCAGTTTTCTTAACCCGTTTTTTTTTAAATAAAAAACACCTGATGCCTTTTTCGCATTCCTTCATTATCGCAATTTCTACAAATACGAGGCATTGTTTAGACAAGAGAGAGCGTTTAATTAGACTTAAAAGTGTAACTGTTTTTTTTATAATAATTGTTGTAACCTAGAAAGGGTTACTGAATGAGGAATAACCAAAACGGAAGTTGGAAATGAAATGGTAATCTTTATAACATCAACAAAATACAATACTCGCCAGCGGCTTGAAGTAGGTAAACCACTACTAGTGGTGAACTACTTAGACAGTATATTACCCCTACTTACAATAGCGTTCAACTTATTTATGAGGATTGGGATATACCTAATAGTGTTCAAAGGTACGGTATATACGAATAACCTTTTTTTTTTTTAAATCATTTCACCTCAAGCAAGGCGATAATATCACTAGGAGGCAGGGGTTACAGGGAGTGCAAGAGAATGGGAAAACTTTAGTGAGAAGGAGCGCGGGAAACGTCGATAGCGGAACAGGATTCAGAAAGAGAAGAGATGGCGACTGACATTGCATTCAAATTTTGAAAGATTGTAATTAGCAGGGAAGCAAGGAATTGGAAGAGAGTTTCACAGGTGATAAAAAGAATCTGTTCGAATAGAACATACGGTTGCATCTTGCTAGTTCAACGGTGAGACCTAGTTGCCAATTTAGTAGAACACAACTTGCAGTCGAGGCATAAAGGATAAAAAGCTCATCAGAACAGTTGCCATGAAAATATTTGTAGAAAAGACACAGGAAAGGCGTGTCAAGTCAATGAGAGAGTGACTGAAGTCGAGATGCCAGGTCAGGATCAATTACATTACAAAACCGTCTTTGGATTTTGTCAAGAGTCTTGAGATATATGACGGGAGCGCCAGACCAGATATGGCAGCAGTATTTAATGTACAGATGAATGGTAGATTTATAAATTTGCAAGATGGATTCTGTCGAGAAAGATTTTCTGGGATGACACAGTGAACCAACTTTCCTAGCAGGAGACGTAGCAGTTGATTCAATATAGTTGCTCCACTTCATATCAGTAGGAAACGTGAGCCAAAAAAGTGTTGCTCTCTTGGAGTTTAGCATCAGCTATGCTGATGGCAGTCAGTGGTGATTAAATGAAAGTAGTTTTTTTAAGGCGTTACAATTTACAAGCCATTCTTTAATCCGGTTAACTACTGGTTGGAGGTTTTTAGAGCAGTTGCCAGATTTACTTTGATCTGTCGAACTTGTTACTAAGACATGAGTAAATGACAGTATCAACTGCATAAATGCCTAGTTGGGAACTAATGATATCGGGAAGGTCGTTGACGAAGATCAGAAACAGCAAAGGTTTAAGGATAGAGCCCCGGGGTAGCTCTGTATTAATATGAAATGATCTAGAAGCGTGTCTGTTCTACACGACCTTCATTTGCTAGGAATGATTGGATTAAGACATATATTCGTCCAGAGTCCCCGTGGCCCTTGAGATTGTGTAAAAGGCCAACATGCTTAACCCTGTCGAACGCCTTTAAGATATTTAGAACAACAGGCCGTTCTTAATCTAAAACTTCTTAATCTAAATTCATTGAACTCCGTTGACTTATCGGTAGACCGGGAAAAATCGAATACATTTTGTTTTTTCGAAAGGAGATCGTGTGTAGTAAGGTGCTTAACCAATTCGGCGTTGATTAGATCCTCGAGTACTTTGAAAAAGGGGAGTAAGAGTGTAATAGGGCGAAAATTGGAAGGGTCAGAAGTTTTCTCGGAGTTCTTAGAAAAGGAACTACAGCTGAGGACTTCCAACAAGCTGGAAAGCAATAAGCAGCGAGACATTTGTTGCAAAGTTTGGAGTGAACAGGAACCCGTTCAGGAGCAAACATCTTCAGGACAACTGCAGGGATACCGTCGAAACTGCAGGCCATGTGAGAATCTAGTTTAGAGAGAGTAGAAACCAATGACGGAGTTGTGTGCATATCACTCATTAGAGATTCTTTTCTAGTGGAAAATCAGGCAGAGATACTCCAGATGAGTCGTGACTCAAGTTGGAAGAGAATTTCGCAGCAAAGCACTTCAAATTGATTGAAGAGAGAAGCGACTGCTTTTGTTCAATACACTTTTGCAGAGCCGCCAATAATCTCATGAGCAAACTTATGAGAGGCTATATAGTGTATCAATAATGACTTTGCCTCATTGAGGACACGCTTACACACATTATGAGCAGTGACAAAGAGACGTCTGTTACAATCGGACCTGTCGCTCTGGTATAGCTGGAAGAAGTGATTCCTATGGGCTACAGAGGTCTGCTCAAGGAGATTGTGGTTTCGCTTGTTCTTTCTGTGCTGGCACGAAAGCGTCGATGCTGGCTTTCACCCAGAAAGAGACCTCAGTAGAACATTTCTCAACAGGATGATTAAAAAAATATGATTCCAAGGTGCAAAAGAAAATAACGAAATGAGTCCCAATAATTGCGTTGATAAAAGAAAGATTTTCTGTTAATAAGGAATTTTTGTCTAATGGGGCAGTGGAAAGAGATATCTATAGACACTAGCGCTCCGGACTTCTTCAGATGATACTGGGCACCACTAGTACAGAGAGCTACAGAAAAAACAATAATAACAAGAAAATTGTAATACGAGTTTTGGTAAAAATGATTACTGAGACATTAGGTTTATAAGTCCCAAAAATTAATTCATTGATGTCCCCAAGAACACATGGCCCATTGGATAAAAGCTTTGGTTGAGTGATCCAAAAGTGACTTGATCCAAACAGTTAATACCTGGCCACAGCAGCGGGAGGAAAAACTTGGAGAGATGAGTTACCAAGGGAACGGAACGTGGAATTAAAACAATCTACTCTCGTGGACTAAATAAAAGGTTTGTTTCGAAATTCCAAATAATATCACCTGAAGAAGACCGGAGCGTACCACGGTCGAAAAAGACTTGAATATGGCAATAAAAAATGATGACAACAGTCCGAACAATGTAAAAAGTTACAATACCTCATCTCAGAAATATAGACACATAAATCAAAGACAGTACAATGTTGTATCCAACTTCATTTAGACAATTCTGCAACGACACCGATGTCAAACACCCAGCCTTCTAGACACACATCTATGGCGTAAAAAGGTGAGACATGTTACATGGGTAAACTTTCATGGTTGTCTGTGCCCTGGATAGGGTAGGGTACTTCAGCGACGCCAGGTTATGGAAGCGTATGTAGCAAGTGAATATTCACCGAGTTCGATCTCCTTTCAATGCCAGCAAAAGGTAAGCTTATTAATTATCATACCGTAGCACGCAGAGGAGCAAACTCGTCTCACAGACCAATTCGCCAGACTACGCGGTTCTACGACTGCAAGACTAAACTAAATATATAAAACAATACAGAATGGTCAAATGAAACGCTGAATGAAATAAGAGATAGAAATGGTTGTTGAAAGAGGGTGAATCGTAAGTTAAAAACGGGCTTATGGTAAACCTAAATGGGTACGAATATAAAGCACTGAACAGAGATCGAACTCACTATGTGTTAGAGATGGTTTCCTAGACAAGCACGCTATTACCTCACAGAGTGGATAGCATCCAACATACACAGTGTGTATTACACACATATGCAATACATTGTAAACAGACTGAGCGTGATCGATGAAAAAGGAGAGATAAATAGAAACAGACTGAGATA